TGATTTTGAGCTCAAATTGCTTACAAATGAAAAAAACCACAATAAAGAACCATATATATATAGTGAACAAAATGAGATAAGACAATGGTGAAAAATGAGAGTATGAGATTGGTAACCTTTACAACTGAAGAATCGACAGAGGAATTGAAGAAATCGACGGAGGAATCGAAGAATGGATGGAGGAACAATGGAGGGAGGAAGCAAGAACACTAGTGCAGTGAGCTTCAAAATGTGTTGAGCTCGGGCTCGGGGAGGAAGAAGGAGACGGCCGGGATATAAAGGGGGGACCTTTAGTCCCGGTTGGTGGCTCCAACCAGGACTAAATGTAACTTTCCAACCCCAGGCGCAGCCACGGCCCGGGAGTAGACATTTACTCCCGGTTGGAGCCACCAACCAGGAGTAAAAGTATACCTTCAGTCCCGGTTGGTGGCTCCAACCGGGACTAAAGGTCCCTGCCACCTCATCAAGCCGCGAAGAGTTGGGCAGGGACCTTTAGTCCCGGTTGGAGCCACCAACTGGGACTAAAGGTATCTCTAGTCCCGGGCGCAAAAAATTTCGGAACTAGAGACCATTTTGACCGAGGATCAAAGGTCTGTTCTCTACTAGTACTAGTTTTGCAGGGATCATGTTGGTTTTCGGAAGCATTGGCTTACTAAGACCATATGTTGTAACTCTTCTTTCCTCTTAATGAAAAATGTACTTACTAAGATTGAGTCACATCTTAATCATTAATTATACTCCTTATAATAAGCCTTGCATCCAGTTTGAATATGTGTTAGCTTAAGGTGATTTGGTGCATGCAGCTGGCCTTTTTTACTTTGGCTGCTGATTACAAGTAATGTAACAAACGAAAGACTACATGAGCCTGCAGCTATTCAGAAGAGACTAATAATGTGTGGCGAATTACTTGTTTCTGTGTAGGACGTCCTCTGGAGCCATGGCCGCCATCCTGGACGCTATGGCACCCTACGTGACACAGCTGATAGCAGACATGTTGCTGGGTGTGTCCCACGACATTGAGAAGCTCAAAGATAACATGGAGATCATCAAATGCTTCCTTGCTGATGCTGAGAGGAGGCCCATAACTGAACAGATTGTGCAGAAATGGGTGAGGAAGCTCAAGGACGCCATGTATGATGTCACCGACATCCTTGACGTATGTCAACTTGAAGCTGACAAGCACAAGGAATCTAAATGTGGTAGCATGGAAGAGAAGGCTTCGGGATACTTGCAACCATTGCTCTTCTGCCTGCGGAATCCTCTGTTTGCGCACAAGATAGGAAGCCGCATCAAGGAGCTGAACCAGCAGCTAGAAGCCATCCACAAGGAGGCGGACAAGTACAAGTTCAATATTGGCCTTGGTTCCAACCCAGAGCCAAGAAATCTAACTGCTGCTGAGTTCTCCAGCTCTAGGACAAGTTCACAGTTCGACGAGTTAGCCATAGTTGGAGAACAGATAGAGAGGGACACAAGAGAACTTGTTCAGTTGCTAACCACAGATGATGATAACAATCATAGCATCAAAGTTGTTTCTATCGTTGGTGCAGGCGGCATGGGTAAGACCACCCTCGCTCAGAAGATCTTCAATGACGCAACCATCCAAGAGCACTTCAAAAAAAAGATATGGCTAAGCATCACCCAACAATTTGATGTTGTTGAGCTACTGAGGATAACAATCGAAAATGCTGGGGGAGACCATGGTGGGAGGCACGACAAAAGCACTCTGACGGAGACCCTCATCAACAACCTATCAACTGGCAGGTTTCTGCTGGTGATGGATGATGTGTGGAGTCATGATGCATGGAACCATGTGCTTAGTGTCCCAGTCAGAAATGCCAACAAGAAATTACCTAGAAGCCGGGTCCTTGTCACTACAAGATCTGCACACTTACCCCAACAGATGCAAGCCCCCCTGCACCAACACCGTGTTAGGCCTCTAGAGAATGATGATGCTTGGTCATTGCTCAAGAAGCAGCTGTAGCCTAACCAGGTTAGTCATCTCTCCACACTTTATACAACTACTAGGATTTGTGCACATATCCTTGTGGTTGTGTTGTTCGGGCTACCTTACTATATCATAGTAGATGCATGTTAGATTGGTGTCTGAGCCCCACTCTTGCTCATTGATCACCGCCTTATCGGGTGCTCTCTAGTAGCAAGGTATAGTGTAGATGTGGTGTTTATACTATACTTTCACCTGTGATTGCTGCTTGTCGCATGGAATGTTTGGGTTAACTTGATTTAGTGGAAAGCGCATAGAGTTCCGTTAAATTTAAGCATTTGTGCTAGGAACACAAGCTTATGAGATTAGCAAAATGAGACCAGTAAAACTATGATCTAGAAGACATAATCAAATTTAATAACAAAGCGCTAGGATCAAGTTTGCTATTACTCACTGCATCCAGAAACTTAGTGCATGGCTAGCTCTCTATGAAGTCTCAACTATTTGAAATTTGATCATATTTAATATCAACAAATTAAAAATTATCAACTTTTATGGCATCAATTTAATATCATTAGATTTTTTTATAAAGCAATGTATTTGCAGCGTACCTATTTTAATTTATGAATGTTTGTAATTTTCACCATGTATAATTTAGTCAAAGCTAAAATACTTTCACTTAGAATAAAACCGCCTGTCTTTGTTGGACATAGGGAGCACTAATAGTAATATACTTCATTTTGTGTCCCACAATAATGCTCATAGGACATGTTGAAAAAGAGCTAAATCTTAGAACTTCTTATAAAATAGCAGAAATACAAGGTCGACAATTTGGTAGGATCTAAATAAAAATATTCGCCGGATCTAGATAATATGTTTTGTAAAAACATAACCACTAAAAAAACAATTAGGAGACTAGCTCCCCTAGTAACAAAGGTGGGCACACCTAGCGACTACCTCCATATATGGTCTGAGGGTCTCCAGTGTCTCCGAAAATCATTTATAGAGGCGGGCCTTCTATGGTGACGGCCTTGGAAATTCGTCGGTTAACGGAGGCCGTCACCTTAGGTTTTCCGCCTCCGTAAACAATTTTTGGAGGATGGCATCTAAGATGTCCATCTCTGAAAATCGTTATTAATAGAGGCGGCCATTCGTATGTCTCCAAAAATAGATTTATTGAGGTGGCCTCCTAAGATTCCTGTCTTTATAAATCGCTGCATCCAAAAATAATTCATAACTTTTCATACGAACTTGTATGAATATAAACTATATATAAAAATTTTAGCTCTTGACAAGATCTATAACTTTGTAGTTGAGAAGTTTTTTATTTAAAACTATTTAGAGTCCCAAATAATGTTTTAAGTTTACGGATTTTGAAATTTAACATCTATTAAACACAACCGTAGATATTGACATAGTCTATACGAAAGCTATAGTTCTTAGTACATCTATAATTTTGCAGATGATTTTTTGTGATCTAAAGTCGTTTAGAGTCCAAATATGTGTCCTAAGTTCATAGAATTTGCAATTCAAATTTTTGGTTTATAAAGGACCTTGAATGTTCACATAGTTACAACAAAGTTGTCAAGGACCTTGACATTCTAATATGTGATTTAAAGGATCTACATATTTTCTGTTGTAAGTTTTTTATTTGATGTTATTTAGTATCTCAAATATTTGTTTTAAATTCCCATACTCTGAGATTGAAATTTTAGAATTTTTCAAACAATCACGGACAGGGATACATCATATACCAAAGTTATAGTACATGAGAAGGTTTAAAACTTTATACTTGAAACTTTTTTCATTCAAATTCATTTAATAGTTAAAATATTCAATACAATATTATAGAATATTTGTACATAAAGATATAATCATATATATATATATATATAATCATATATATATATATATATATATATCTTAAATTGATTAAGTTGTGTAGTGGTAAGGTGACGTAAGTGTTGAGTTGTACGCATGGGTTTGAATCTTGGGAAGGAAATGTTTTGGTGTTTTTTTTATGGGAACCATTAACAAAGGCTCGTCTCCATTAATCGATTTTTAGATGCGTCCATTAATTGATTTTTAGAGACGGACAGTCCAACTGCCTCTGTAAATGATGATTTTTAGAGGCGTCCATTTTAATTTTCAGAGGACATTCTGACTCTGTAAATGGCGATTAACAGTGACATTTTGTAAGAGGAAGACAACCTACCCGCCTCTATGAATCAAAAACACCTACTCTGAAAATATTTTTGGTATCAATATTTTCGTATATAAAATAGTCTAGAGTAGCACCTTGAATCTACAACTCACCTCTATGGTTATAAAAAAACTAAGTAAGCCAAAATGTTGATCTAGACAAGACGATACCTATACTATTATAAACAATAATCTAAGTAGCACTTAAATTTGCATCTAAATTACTTAATATTTACATAACCTTCATTGTTTCACAAAAGAAGCTTGCTCAAATCGTATTTGCATGGAAAATAATGTAATGTATAAGCAACCTGATCGAGGTTGTTTGAAATAACTAAGAAACATTAAATAAAATGTTGGCAGGTAGTTGGAATTGATCAACTGAAAACTATTGCGATGGAAATTCTTGAAAATTGTGATGGCTTACCACTTGCAATTAAAGTGATTAGAGGTCTCTTGAGCACAAGATACCCAAGTGAGCATGAGTGGAAATGTGTTTTGAACAAGCCAGCTTGGTCACTGACCGGACTGCCTTCAGAACTCGACAACCGACTATACTTGAGCTACGAGGACTTGTCTCCCCAGATAAACAGCCTGTTCGGGAGGCCGTATCGTATCGTTGATTATTTACTGCTGGCTGGTTTGGTGTGAGAGAAAAACATTGTTCCCGGCTGAAAATTTACGATCGTTTACGAGCAAGCGAACAGGCTGAAAGCAATGCTTTTTGTACTGCTCACTATTTCCTAAAGGTGAAGAAATCATTAGAGATGTAGTAACTCAAATGTGGATTAGTGAAAGATTTATCCAAGCTTTGGATGATAGTAGTACTATTTCACAAGAGTATGAGTTCGAAGAGATGGCAACTGAGTACTACCGAGAGTTAATAAAGAGGAACCTTATACAACCTACAAAAGAATATTCTCTCACTGGATACGGGTGCACCGTGCATGATGTGGTCCGCACCATTGCTGAATATGTGGCAAGAGAAGAACCACTAGTGGTGATTGGCAGAGAACAGGCTGCTACCGGTGGTGTTGGTGGCGGTGGGATTCATGTCCATCGCCTCTCTGTAGAACAGACCGTGTCAGTAGTGGAATGGGGCATTCTGCAAAGGCGAGAATAACTTAGGACATTAATTATAAATTCTAGAGAGTACTGTACATATGGTCTGCTAACTCAGATACCTTGGTTCCCTCTCTATCAAAGCTGAAGCAATTAAGATACCTTCACCTAGAGGATACTGATATATCTAGACTACTAGAAGACATACACAAGATGAAGTTTCTACTTTACATTAATCTACTTGCCTGTAAGAAATTGGGCCACCTTCCTAGCAGAATCATTAAACTTGTGCATCTAAGATGTCTTGACACCAGTAGTTCATATCGGTGCAGTGCCCAAGGGTTTTCTTGGGTCAACAAATCTAAGGTTACTTTATGGGTTCCCAGTACAAATGGACACGGATGCTAGTGGTAGTTGCTGGTGCAGTTTGCAAGAGCTGGCATCTCTTTCTCAGCTTAGAAAGCTTACACTGTATGGCCTAGAGAAGGTGCATGACAGCTGGATGGCTGGAAAGGCCATGATTAGCAGCAAGTGCCACCTTGGGTATCTAGAATTGAAATACAGTGCAAGTAGACGTACTCTTGGGGGACAACCTGACACATGTGGAGAACATCCCTTCAGTTGTGGAACTTGACGTGTTTGACTGCCCTGAGCTGAAGAAGATCACAGCACTCGACAGCAGGTTGCAGAAGATTAGGATCGTTCGCTGCACAAAGCTGGAGGTTCTAGAAGGTGTACCAGCACTCGACAGCCTCGTACTGGAGGACTCCACCATGGACACGCTTCCAGAATACCTGCAAGCTGTAAACCCAAGGTATCTCCGAATGGGACAAGACCAGCCACATTGGAAGGCGCAACATTGTCTGCCTCTAAGATGGCGCGTGTGTTCAGGTAAATTGCATTCTTTCACTATGCCGGAAGTGGGTTTTCATATTTATTAATTATTGCTTGTACTCTGATTCGTTGCAGGAAAAGCTTTCATTGGACCACACATAGAACAGCAGGGCATCAAAATATATGGTGATTAAACAAAGTGTTGCTACAGCCTGCCCGTCCGACTAGAGGACATCTACAATTGCTAACAATCAATTGTCTTGGAACAAAAGAAAAACACAGTGCTTGTGTTCACCTTTTCCCTGTTCAAGTCTGGCCAAAGTATGTTTATTATCATCTCTTGTATTTGTAGCTATCATAACTGGAAACAGGGACTTTGCCGAGTGTCTACGGCACTCGGCAAAGGCTTAAAAACACTCGGCAAAGGCTTTGCCGAGCACTGCACTCGGCATAGGCCACTCGGAGAAAAAAAAGTCGGCAAAGCCTTCTTTGCCGAGTGTCATTTGTCGGGCACTCGGCAAAGCCTTTGCCGAGTGTCGACCAAACACTCGGCAAAGAAAAGTGGCCATTATCCATGACGGTTGCTTTGCCGAGTGTCTCAAGGACGACACTCGGCAAAGAATTTATATAATTTTTTTCCCGAAATTGTTTGCCGAGTGTCGGCTCTCGGCAAAGATTTTTTTTTTAAAAGTCTCTTTGCCGAGTGCCGTGGCCTGACACTCGGCAAAGCCTTCCCCTTTGCCGAGTGCCGTGGCCTGACACTCGGCAAATCCTCCCACTTTGCCGAAAGTGCCCTGCTCGACACTCGGCAAAGCCTTCCCTTTGTCGAGTGCCGTGGCCCGACACTTTCGAGAAGAGCCCAGCTTTGCCGAGTGTCCTTGTAATTACACTCGGCAAAGCCGGGAAATTTGGTGTTTTCCTCCGGTTTTTGCGCTTTTGCCGAAAAGCAAGTGGCCATATTGCACTTTCGGCAAAGAGGCCTTTGCCGAGTGTGACACCCGCAAAGCGTCTATAATTGCCTATTTTTTTTTGTTTTTACATTCCAACACTTCCATCACACATTCAAATGAAAATTTCATAGATATTCATCACATTCTTCAAATCCATGACATTCATCACTTACATATCACAAACACCATTTAGAAGTCACAAACATAAGTGTCTCGAATATATCACATCGAAATTCACAAGTTCAAAAGTTGTTCATCATCTAACATCCAGGTTTATTACCACAATTCCATGAACATGGACAAGTTCAAACTCATTACCAACACGCCTTTCATCGGGCGGTGACCGATCTGGATCCCGAGGATTAGGCGGATTATTGGAACTCCGCCACCGAGGCGCCGAATCGAGGCTGCACAAAGGAGTATATATTCTATGTGTTAGACATGTACTTGGCTAGCTAATTAGAAATTACTTGCATGTAAGAGACCGCAATTAACTTTCATACTCACAGTGTAGGTCCATCCTGTGGTGAGGCTGCAGTGGGAGGTGGTGGAGCGAGCACTCGGTGGCAAAGCAAGACCCGTATGTTGCCCAAGGCTTTGAAGAAAGGCCATGATGCTCGACAACCGAGTCTCATAGGTCTCCGTGATGCCCGCCAACCTACTCTCATAGTTCGACACGCCGACATCGATTGCGCTCGCAGCTCTTGACGCTGCCGAGCTTCTTCTTCGAGCCGGGCCTACAACATTTCATTCCAATGTTTCAGTAATGCATAGCTAATTACGATGTGTAAAAGTCAATATACGACGAGTCAAACTGAAATTACCTCGAGGACGTCGACTCGCTGCTGTGCAACGGTCGGCCGTGTGCGTATGGCCAGGCTCGGATCGTGGAGAGGTCGGGGACAGCGGTCGAGTCGATTGTGCCATCGGCAATCCACATGCGGCCGTGCTTCTTCCCTCCTCCCAACCTCATGACGAGCTCCATATCAATCTCCTGCGTGCATGGGTCGAAGTCTGGCCCATGGACTGACCTTGTCGCCGACGTGTACCTACTGATGCGGGTGTGGACGCTCGGGTTCATGTACTCCTAGGACCCATCCTCCAGGCTGAAGGAGACATCGGACGTCGCCTTTCCCTTGTGGGACATGCACCATGCCTGGAAGTCCGAGCACTCCTGGCCTTGATGTGCCGCCCTCTACGAGAAAGACATCAAAAAGATTAGAAATCACTCATAATTGATCATCGAATAGATAAATGAATTCGTGTACCCATGCGCTCAGATCCGGCGAGGTTGTGGCTGCCTTTGATGGTGTCTTTGGTCCTTGCATCTCCAAACGCTGCTCCCTTGCAGCGTTGTGCATCGAGGCATACCCCTCCGTAAACCAGTTGTCCACGATCTTCTCCCACGCCTCGGGATACGATCTGCACCACCAGGGAATCATCTGCATGTCATCCGATAATTGACATATAAGAAGATCGAATTAAACCTACTTATTCTCAAAACGAATCAATCTAGATGTTCTCATGTACCTCAATGTACTGCTCCCGGGTCAGGTCCATGGTTCTGGCGTCGGCCTTTTTGACCCTCTGTCCAAGCTTCGACCCGTAGTAGGTGACAACGGCCTGGATCTTTGCCTCGTGAATCATGTCGACGACGAGCTTTTTGCAGGCTTTGGTCGCCACCTGATCCTTCCTACCCTCAAATCCCTCCTCGCATTTGAAATAAGCCTGCAGACAAACACGATATTTGTATGGATATTTTTTAAAGAAAAAGTTCAATGAAAGAAGCAATGCTATGTGATGCACCTGATTTTAAGAACAAAACCAGATACACACCATATGTGAGCCTAGAAAGTCAAATCTCACATATAGCTATAAATAAGGGTAATATCAAAAGGCAATGCTTAAATACATAGCGTATTAGTATAAAGAGTATAACCTCAGAGTATAGACAGCGGAAAGACAACTCCGATCTTTAAGTGAGTACTCCAAATCCACAGGGACAACTGACAGGTTGACCACAAGCCTAATTCCTCCAAACTCTATCAATCTGGTACCCATCCGAGATTTTTATCCAAATATGTGAAAAATAAAGCAAGCGTAAGTACATGTCGTACTCAACAAATATAACATGGGGTTCATGAGGCTCAAAAGGCTGACACTGGTTCAACTGCGATTAGCTTTTAATGAGTCATCTTTTAGCAATTGAGTAGCAACAAGTTTATCACCAGCCCATATAAACACATGATCAGGTAAACATGAATAATGAATAGCATAAACAATTAACCATTAGTTAGTATCTTCATCATCCATATCATTAGTGTTCATCGCCTATTCCGTAAATGTTCCAAGGCCGCTCGTGACCGTGAGCACGGCTGATATACCAGTTTTACACTCTGCAGAGGTTGTACACTTTCACTGTGAGTCGTGATTTACCCTTTCACCTGAGGTGATCAGCCTCTTGACCCACTACCAAGGAAGGTCGGCAGGGTTCACTATGAAGCCTTTCAAAGGTTCGTCTAACAAGTTAGGGCCACTAGGTTTCTGTGGCCTGCGAATGTAGAGCTCCCCTTCCGACAGGCACAATGACGCGCAGCCTATACACTGACGGACAGAGGCCGCACTATATCCAACCCGGAACACACCCCTCTTGTGCCATGAAGGTAACCACTAACAAGCTAGAAAAGGTCCTCATACTGAGCTAAAGCCAGAGCCATATAGCCCTCACAGCTGTACTGTAAGTCCCGGATGATCACTTACAGATAAGTCCTTATGGAGAGGAATCTAGAGCACCATAAAACAGCCTAATGCTCTAGCCCCCTGGTTCCATGTTGCTAAAAAACATTTTTTAATGTTTATTGCATATACCATTAGTCAAGTTACAAGATCATGGTTGTAGTTGAGCACTAGCACCATAATACCCAATGCAATACCCCATAAGTATCAAGGAACAAGGTATCAAATAACTAGGATATCCTTATTGGCAACAAGGTAGACACATGCAGTATGAATTAAGTGATTAAAGGTGAATAGGTAACAAGGAAGATCCCATGCTATACTTGCCTTAAAACACCGATCCTTCGGTATGCTTAAATCTTCAACGTTGTTGTTTTTCTTCTAGATCACCACGTATATCTCACCGACTGGACTTAATCATAAAGCACCACGCAAGCATCCATACAATCATAGACGAAGCAAACAATAGATCTAAATTAGAACAGTACATCAAACATAAAATTAAGATGAAAAGTTTGTAAAACGAATCTACGTCTCGCTACGAACACATAGACGCGAAGAGCACGCTAATCGAAGCTACGGTTGAAAAGATACAACTACCGAAAGATTTACTTTATACGTGAAAAAGAAAACTATAGGCTTCATTTATTTAACTATATAAAAGCTTATATAAATTAGATTGAATCAAATTTAGATTTGAGTTATAAAACTAAAGTAAAACAAATCATATTTTATTTACAAAACCCAGTTGCATAATTGTTATTTAAGATATGATTTAAACCATGAAATTCCGGTATTAGTGACATGATAAACACTGTTACTAACGCATAGATCTCGTCGCTATGAATCTAATGCAACTTGAATGGACTAAAACGGAGTTAAAACGTAGAAGATGTGATTTAAGCAAGATTTCCTTTGTTAAAGTAATAGATTAAATCAATTCATGAATTTTAAAAGTTAAAAACATACTTAACAGTAGTATGAACATGTAGATTATGAAGTTACGAGCCTAGCGCAAGTTGAACGGGTCAAATCGGAGTTAAAACGGAGAAGTTACACATGAAATAAGGTGCAATGGTATTTCTATAAATAAACTGAGCTTATTCTTGAATTAAAACAATTAAATAACCTGACTGTGGTTGCTGACTGGGCTAAAATAGAAATAACCGTAGATGGCATGGGCTAGCTTGGAAGATATACAAGACTCACAAAATAGTAGATCGATTACGGAAAAGTATAGGGGTTAGAACGCAAAGTGTGCGTGCACTATGCTGTGGACCGAGTCTGCGGCCCGTGAACCGGTGGAGGTGCTGTGAGAGCAGTCCACCATGGACCATGTCCACAAGGGTGTATTTGGAGTCGTATTTCTAGATTTATTTTTCCAAAGGAAAACGGCCATAAATACGAGTGATGTCACCATG